TTCTCCCCAACAGCTTTACTTGTCTTTGTTTCTCTGTTGAGACTTCTAGGAGCAGCTACGTATGTCCAGACATACACTGAATAGTCTTCTAATGGAAGCGAATACTTACATGTTTATGTATTTAATAATAATACGCTTTTTTTAAGAGTAATATAGAGATTGCTACCAAATTAGTTGTCCATTGTTAGGTGGCATCATGACATTTGGTTTTCATCTGGGTGGCTGGACTGAAGGCTGACCTGCGCGGCCATGTTTGCATACTCAGAGAATCAATAAGGCTCTATTGATGCCTTCACGCTGCCATTTCCAGCATCATCATGTTTGAAGTGCACCCATGGAAATTGTGGAATATTAGTTGGAAGCTTGCCATTTATACACTGACTTCATTTTTACTCTTCAAATGGGACACATTGGTCAAATATATTGAATAATAGAATAACAATTTAACATTTTAACTAGGACAAAGATTAAAAAATATGCTTTGATTAATCTCATGATTGTTCTGTGATTAACAGTGATTAATCACATTTTGCGCAAAATTCAACAATACATAAAAAACTAGTATATTGCACACATTTTGTTTTATTTTAAGGTAATGTTATCAGAACAATATAAGAGGCATTTTCCGGAATAACAGCAAGTTAACATGCAGCACATGAATATTGGTTCAGCATTTCTCTTTTATCAGGGAGCAGCATTTGCATAATGCAGCATATCCTCAGTGGTAAGGCTCTCTGTTAGAGTGAGGTAATGTGGTCTAGCATTTAGACTTTTTAGTCTGTAAAGACATTTCCTTTGAATCTCAGTCAAAGGAAAAATATTTTAGTGATGCAGGTTGAGCAATTACCCAATGACAAAATTACTTTTAACGTCCACTTTCTTATCCATTTCTCTGACTTTGCATTTTCCTACTCCTCTGCAAGCCAGTTGCTTACGTTTTCAGACGATGAAGAACTTTTTTTTCCTTTTGAACAATTTTACCAACACGAGAAAAACACCTTTCAAAAGGTATATTTTGTAACATCTACAGGAAAAACAATGTTTACATTGATGATGGAGTCGGCCCGGGTTAGGGCAAGACCAGCGCACGGCGGTTTGCGTCCTTTTACAAACTCTGATTAACCCAATTTTAACTAATTAAAACAGTATTTGCCTCCAAAGGTCTAAATGATCTCATGCGGAAGAAGAAGACTTGAAACCTGTGTTTACTGAGATAATAAATCAAGTGAAAGGTAGGGTCATGTTTCCATAGACACAAGTTTTAAGGACACTCCTGCATTGGCTTCACCGACTGGAATGGGGATGACAATATTAGACTATTGAGGGATTCTTCTGAGGGATGCAGGTTTTGCTGTCCTCACCTTAAATCTAATAACACACAAGCAGGTTTGTTGACATTTTATTATTTTATTTTTAAGGGTGCTAAAACCATCAGAATTCTTTAATATGTGTGACATTTTACTTTATTTATTTGTGCGCTCATCTTCCGTTTGTAATCCTGATGAGCACAGCAGTGGTGCTTAAAATGCATGCCACTTATATCCCAATGGAGGATTGCATTAACGATGAGATTACCTTTAGAAAATATTCAAAACTATTCCAGATGTGTCTTCAGTATTATGCAGAACTGGAAAATTAGTTTTTGTTCTGTTTTAAATTATAATAGAGGTAAGAGAGGTGCACTGTGCTCAGAGAGCAACAGCAGCTGACCAAAGAGATGTAGTGAAGAATTTCAGCCTGTGAAACTCAGCCTGAATGTAAACGCTAATTATAAAAAGATTCTGCGCTATATGATTAAACGGTCCAAATAGGACCTTAGTGGACACAAACATAGTGGCGGATGGGGAAGGTGTGGGTGTGCACAGGCAAGGATAGTATAGTCAATATTTACCCCGAGTAATTGGTCTACACTTCCCCCAGCAAGATACATAGACGTCCGGCGTCATCCCTGCCTTATCTCCTCCGGCTCTCCCTCACACACTCACCGCGGGACCACGCACCGGTGGTTTGGGCGGTGAGTGATTTCCTGTGCTGGGACGCTGTCATGTCCGTTCACGTTGTCCCGGTGACCTCGTTGCTATTATTCAGTTAATAAGCACATAGAGCAGTCTCTAATGAGCTGTGTGGCCACAGTTACCTTTGTAATGAGGTGGTTATGTTACTCCCAAAGGTGCTCTATCGATAGGATGACACGGGTATAGCAGAGAGCAACTCACAGCCTTTCCTCTTTTTGGCTGTCAAACTCTCTCTCTTTTTCTGTCTCTCGCGCTCTCAAAGCAACGCTCCCATTAGCCTGAAGTCCTTTTGATTGGCTCCCCCCTACACTCGTTCTGTGTGGGTTTGAACGGACGTCAGCTGCGTCTCAATTCATTGTAGGACACTGGGCCGGGTCCTCCAACAACAACGCATAGGATGAACTGAGCGGTCTCTGAAATGGGACGGTCTGGCCTACGGGGGGACCACCTTTCTGCGTCGTCACCTCTGCTGCTCCCGTTGCCTAGCAACCTGCGCGCTTGACAGTAAAAGCCTTAAAATCCCAAGACGTATAAAATACAGAGAAGATAATCTTCTTACTTCATTTAATTTAGGATGATATATATCAGGCTGAGAGAAGAGCATTTTCCATTTTGTTTAAATGCAAATTAAATCAGACAATGTACTTTCAGCTAAACGTAATTTTGCAATCTTAAGGCAGAGTGCATCAATCAATACTGACAATAAAAACCACAGCAGCAAATGTATGCAAGGACATACCACAAAACAAAAGGAGCCAAACAAACAAGTTGAGTTTCTTTGTGTATTTATTCTCAATGTTTGTAACGTTACTGACTTAGAAAGCGATATTTCAGGTTCATAACTTGAGCTCACTTTGTTCATAATATGAAGTATAAACAGTACATAAAAGCATCACAGCATCTGTAGGATGTTATTCAGCCTGTGTGAGTGTGTAAAGTTGAGGCGTTAAAGTGACTTTTTTTGTATGACATAGATACGACATTGGTTACCAACCAATCACCTAACTTAAGCCATTTTATGAACTAATATGTAACGTTGTATATCATTACAGTTCTAACGTTACATATTCGAGTGAATTATATTACTTAACATTACATTTAAATGTGAACTCTCCCCCGCGCTGCTTCCGTCCTGAATAAACTGAATTCTCGCCGGGCCCGCACTGCATGCTGGGATACGCTTAGGACAGATCAGATTGTGTCCTCCAAATCAGCGCCTGGAGGGCTGCGCCGCTCGGCCGCGCCCATAGGACCAATGCAACGGGACAGCCGAGTTGCAATGTTCCAAAGTGATGTATTTTCGGTCGGCATTTATAGCATTTTATTTCGTTGCTGGTAGGAATCCATAGTGTAGAACTATAACATCAGGGTTACGTTATGAGGAACGAGTCAGAATGAGAATTAAGGGTGTCTGACATTGACAGAGCAGAAGGAAATGAACAAGGACAGGAGGGGACGAGCCGGGGGGAGACTGAAGGAATATGGCGGTGTTTTTCTCAAATAGATGAAATGACATTTGGTTGTTTTTGTATTCCTGTTGGGATTTGTATTGTAATCAGTGAAATTTTCCACCACACAGGTGACACTAATGAGAAGACACAAACAGTCCGCTATCTGTTTTGTTTTTTCGGGGAGGCAGTAATCACGTATTTGCAAAACACTTTATTGCATGTGACCTGGAACAGTTCCATTGGGCGAGGCCTCTCACCAATGATATACGATAATTGGAATGCTTTTCAGTCCCCATAATTCACGAGGCCCTTTGCATTTTACCCATCTCTCCCCCTCTTGTACATTGCAAGAGACAAAAGGGGGGTTTGCATCACCCACAAATGATCAGACGGGTCGCGCTGTCTCACGAGGGGATCTTTCTATGGTTTCTGCAATCTGCAGCAGCAGGGTGATGATGTAAGAGCGGATGATTTCAATGTGTCAGTCACTCAGCGGTACTGTGGGAAGTAGCTACCAAGTGCATATCAACTAGCTGGCAACTCGGGTTACGAATTCACAAACACTGACTTTCTATTCGAAAGCGCTGCCTTGTTGAGAATGTGTCTTTGTAATTGTTTGATAGAGAAAACAAACCGCAAAGCACAAAGTGAATTCATTTATATGATTTATTTTGACATAAAGAAAGAACAGAGGCCGTGTCTTCAAACAGCACTGTGATATGACATGTTTCATCCCTTTGAACGCTCTGAAATATGGCATTTCTGATTGATCTCTTAGAAATAATAATATTTATCTGCGTGGTGTAAGAAAGAGTTACTGGTTTAGAACACCGTCACTTGAGGCCTGAAGGTCCACTGCTCCTCCTTCCTGCTCCATAGTGAAATGAGGTGTCCAGCACTGCAGCACAGAAGTGTTCCTCGGCCTGTCCCGAGCTGCTCATTACCGCCCTATAGCGTTGTTTACGAGCTTAAAGTGTTCTCCGCATAGTGTCAAACCTCCGCCAAAAGACCATGTTTCACATTCCAGCCCATTATACCACAGCTGCACTGCGTCAACTAGAAATGCCCGGAATAAGCTCGGGGCACATGCGGCTGGATGCTTTTATTCCTGGTCAGCGTGTGCGTTTGTGTGTGTGTGTATGTGTATGTGTGTGCACATGCGTCTATGTCCGAGGCATCATGTCCTCCTTCTTTTTTTTTTGTTGCATGGGATTGTTGTTGGATGTGTCATCTGCCCGATTGGGATACTGCCAAGCGCTAAACTTGCTTCTTACGCACACCACGCTGTTAACACTGAATGACCCCCCGCTTCCGTTCTGTATTCACGACTGTGTTTATTTGCAATGAGATTGATATAGCTTTTTAAAGAGAGACACTGCCTTTATTGCTTCTCTTGCTATCTTTAGTGAATGGAGATAATAACCTGTTTGATTGTGCTGATGCACATCGCGGGGGGGACGCAATATCTCTCGGGTTTAATAATCGCTTCTCTTTCTCTTGTCTTCCTGTGTTGTTCTGTTTGTGTGTCGCCCAGAGAGCCAGCTTCTCCCGGGGAACAACTTCACCACGGAGTGCAACATCCCGGGAAACTTCATGTGCGGCGACGGGAAGTGTGTCCCGGGTGGGTGGCAGTGTGATGGATTCCCCGACTGCTTTGACATGAGCGACGAGAAAGGCTGCCGTGAGTGCAATCTAGACCTCATTACCTTGTTTACAGGCCGTAGCCGTGCGAGCGCGTGAGGACAGCCCATTTGGAGACGGCAGATCTCAATTCCTCAACTCCTCTCTGCAATCAAACATTCTCCCATCGCTACCCATCGAGCCGTAAAGGCTGTGTAATCCTAATTGTCCGCCGATTTAAACAAAGCGTCTTCCACGATCCGTCCCCGCGCCTCACAGCGTGCGTCCGTCCTGCTGGCTGTTAGAGCCGCTTCAGCACCAGCACGAATCTTAATACCATCAAAGCAAAGGCCGATTACTTCTTCTGCGCGCAGCGATAGTAGCGCATGCATAATTCTACTGTAAGGCTGCAGTAATAGTTCCGTTTGGATCTTCACTTTTAGTTGGCTTTGATCTCTCTGGCCCGCCGCTCCGCCTCTTCCCCCGCCGCCGTCTCGGCGAGAGCTCCACGCCGAGATGAGAGCCCTGATGGAGGTTGACTTTAATACGCATATAGGAACATCTGAAGAGGTGTCCTAGACTACATAGTTTATGTACAGTTTTGTTGTTAAATATCCCTGTAACTTTAAATAAGTCACGCACCACTTGGATGGATGGGTCCTGTGTCCCAGATTCTCCTTGTTCATTGGCCTTAAGCTGTCAGCAAGTGTTATTTCCGATGCATTGAGGCTAATTTCATCCGAATGAGATACATTAAGTGCTCCTCTTCCATCTAGTCGCGCATGTAGCGTTTCATTCGTTGCACTCAAATTCATCTCGAGTTCTTTCGATTCGAACCCTCAGACAAGTAAGACTTTCTTGTCTTTCTGCTGACTACGTGCTGTACGGGCGAAGATAAAAACAAGTTATCCTTAAGCGTCACGCTCAGCTGGCCTCTCTGGTTGTCAGAGGACCGTTCGTGTTTTGTTGTCAGCGCCCACGTTATCTGCTCTGGCATAAGTAGGCCTAATTATGCTCAAATAGACGGCTACTTGTCAGTCGATATCTCCGGCGACTGCTCCGCAAAACTCCCCAGACAAACCTTGAGCCGCACGAGGGGATCTGCAGGGGTCAGCCAGAGGAGGGGGAGACGAGGGAGAAAGCCAAGGAGAGGAAGTAGAGAGGAGGACTCGTTAACGGTGGCTGCAGCAGGAGCCGGATGTCTATTATCTGAGGGGAGCAAAACGCCTGCGAGCTTTGAGGCGGCACTGCTGGATTCTCTGCAAGCACAATCCTAATTAGACACCCCTCTTAAGAAAGACACACAAACCAACACACACACACACACACACATATTTAACAGAGGGGATGATACATTTGCTAACTGCAAATTTGTTGACTGCTTCTCATTCTATATATATATATATATATATATATATATATATATATTTAGCCTGGGGGTCATGTGTTGATCCCTCATGTCTTATTAAATAATGATAATTTTGGAAACTATATCGAATGGGGAACACAAAGGAGAACAAATCGATTTGGACTTGCAAGTGTTTTGGACAAGCGTGGAAAGATCAATTCTCTTTTGAATCCGTATAAAATATGTGAACTTTGCAATGCACACACTCTCTGGGGCTCAAGTACTTTGATCGTTTCGGTCCAAGTTCGCGAGACCCAACAACCCCACACATGAACTGACGATGACTCTGGCCGGCATTGTTCACCAGCAGAAATCTTTCTCCACGTAACTTTAATTCCCGGCAAACCTGGTGGGCATTTGCTCGATGGTGTGTGTCGGCCGAGTTGTCTCTCTAATGGTCAGATTGTTTATTCCCTCCTCCTGCCATGGCCCCGTTGCTCTTGTTTGTTTGTTCTTCCGGTACCCTCTAGCAAATGGGTCAACTCGAGTCACGTAAATACCTTTCGCTTGCACTTCAATAACAGTCTGGGCAGAGAGCAGATGTTGTATCTCCATCCCGAGTTTATTGCCATTAAGATTCAGCTCATTGTATTAGTGTTCTACTGAGCGAGGCCAGGATCCCCTTAGAGATCATTTTAATCAAATCCAATTGTGCAGTGTAACCCCTGCTTTGGGCCACGTAGCTGAATTTAAGATGAAACAATATCAGTAGTTTTCACAGTATCACCAATACTGAACATCTGCTTTACTCTGGTGTGCTTGTTTGCATATGTGATGTTTTTTCAAGCTGTGTCAGGGGACAGCCTGCTGACTAACCCCTCATACAAAGAGGTCAAAAGTACCACCCTGCTCTCGGGTGTCCATGACAACAGCCTGGGAGACTGTTGGACAAAATGAACCCTGACAGAGGAGAGAAGGAGGAGAGCTTCACTGAGCTCACTGGGCCTCACAGGCAGGAATAGTGTCTTTGAGCAGACGTGCAGCGGGGCTGAACGGGTCACTGGGCGTGATGTATTACGCCAGAAGTGAGGAATACGAAGACAGTGGGTCAAAAATGCAGTTCAGAGAGAAAGAGAGAGAGAAAAGACAGAGAGGGATGTTTCAAAAAAATAAGCTGGTCCTGCAAAATGATGTACCAGAGATGCTTCTCATCTCCTCATATGTAGCTCCAAGGCTAATACACCCGTTTTTACACTTGTGCAAAATCCAAATGATACAACTTGTGATCTTGGGTTTCCGGCCATGTTGCTGGTTGAGCCCTTCTCTTCTTAAGAAGAATGGTCCCCTGCCAGCTGCTTTGACAACACCAAAGGGGTCGCAGGATAAATCAGGAGTCATCACATGATGGTTCAATGGTTCAATAAAATGAACCGTTGCCCAATTCAATGCACCCTCTGGTTTTTACTGCATCATCCTTATTGGGCCGGTGCAACTAGCAGCTAACAGTGTGCAATGTTGGCCCACTTCAAATGCATCTTACTGCATTACCTGAGATTGCAGAGCCAGTCGGCTGACTGGACGACTCCTCTTTACCGGAGCTACATATCTTAACATATACTTTTATACTATTATGGCCTGCGTTACTCAATCGCTGCGGGACACACAAGGAGAGCAAATTGGAGGCCTGCCCAGCGGTGGACTGATGTTTTGTCGGTTGGTTTTAGAAGTCTATTATTACTTCATTAGAGCGCGGGATACGACCATATAGGAGTTTTCATTACCCGATGCCAACTGTTTATTGATTCTGTTACAGTTAGGGGGGAAAATGAATTAATTTCAGAGGATTACTAGAACGTGATTGTATTATTGCGTTCCGCAGTCATAACGCAGCCGAAGCCTGGAGCGACATCAGTGCTGCTTTTTGTTTTTCTGCGTACTGACCTCCATAAAATGCCCACGAGAGGTTGAGCTCAAAAGAGCCGCTAAATGCTTATCAACAACAACGTGTTCCTGGAGAGCAGCGCTGTGAAATAGCTGAAAGGACTCCTGAGGGCACATTTTTCTTACATTTTAATTTAGATATTTAGGCCCAATGCTCAAAATAGCAGGTGAAGGGGAGGGGTGACTTCGATTAGGAGTGTGTTTGTCTAACAGCAATCCCCAATTCACTGACTTGAAACACACAAAGCCATATTTTTCCGTAAAATGTTTTTATTATTGTTTTTACAATCTTGCTTTGTTCAAAAATACGCATTTTCTGCTCTGAGAGTGTGTTTGCGTGTGCGCCTGCGTGGGTGTGTTCATTCATGAGGGGAAAGGGAAAAAAGCAGGTGGGATTGGAAGACTGATACTGTCTGGGTTTGCATGCGTGGTTCCAGCACGCATGTCAAATTACAAATTGAAAGACGGTGAAAAAAGGAAATGAATATGGTGCACTAATAGCAGGGAAAGTAGCGGGAGGTCTAGTGCTGCATCCCCATGTGCTAAATGGCCGACTGATTAATGAGCTGCTGTAATTAATACCAAGGAACAGGGATGAAGTATTGATGAGCGTCTTCCATACAGTCTCCTTTGTCTGCTTCGGTCTCCTGACGTCCATTTTCCTCTCCTCTCCTTTTCTATATCGAATGCTGCACCTGGCAGATTGTTAGTCACAAATTAGACGAAATGATAGCTTTTAAATGTTCAAAGAGAAGAAATGTGACCGTTTCAATTAAAAGCACCGTGTTGGGTGCTACTAGTTGAAACATCCTCATGATGAATATTGCAGCAGGGGCTTTTTATCCAGCAGATCCCACTCGCTGCTTTCTTACTATGCGCTCTTTCCTTTCCGTTCTGCTGAAATTTATCTCGATATATATGTTAAGACACATGTGGCCACCCTGGCTTCCTCGTCTAGCATGCAGTTTGAGGGCTTTGCACAACGCCCCATTGGCCCGCGAACACGTGGCCCTCGAGATGAAGGCAGCGATACGACGCTTGCTGCACACGGGGGGTTATTGTATGCTAACGTGCCGGGCTTAGACGGTGCAACGCACCGGGTGATTATTTCTGATCCCGCAGCCCTCTGGACTGATACTACCCTTCCCCTCTTGCTCACACCCGGACAGCATTACCTATTGATTTCCTCCCCGAAGAAACCTCAACAAGGTCAGAGAAGCCTTTCGAGCCGTCAGCTGTCTCCACTCTTTCGCTGCATCCGCCGGCCGCCGCTCCAACCGACCCCGCGCTGTTTTCTCACTTGTTAGTCTCCTCCTCCCGTCTTCCTCCTCACTCCTGCCACTCATGCAGGCCCATCACGGCCGGGGCTACCTGTGCCGAAACAAGTTATTCTGTTCTCTCGGGATTTGAGGAGAGTGAGAAAAGGGGAGAAAGTGTGGAGAAGGGCATAGAGGTGCGTATTTGGGGGAGAGCAAAGCACTTCCAGCTGCAACAGGAGTCACGCTGTCAGATTGAGCCTGACATTAATGCCGAGGGCCACAGGGGACCTAGAGACTGTGAAGAAGCATTTTGATGCTGCCGGATGGTCTGGATTTGAACTTTTGTTTTTTCCTTAATCACAACCTTTGAGTTTAAAGCTGTGAAAATAAAGCGATGGCTGCAGGGACTTTGTTTTGTAGAAAGTACGGTGCAGCATTGTAGGCGAGATTTCTGGCAGATGTGATTATAAGCCTGTGTGTGCAGGATTGTGCAGGAGACCTTAAACCACAGAAATAGGGGGGCGGTATTGTTGCGTGTGCTTTTGTGCCTTTGCTTGTGTGTCCTCCAGCTGTGCGTTTCCGTGTGATCCGGCCGTGTTTTTCTGCCAGTTTACGGTGCAACCTCGAGTAATCAAGCTTGACTGCTAACCACTCACTTTCATTTGTGCTGCTCGGCCGAGCACTGGGAATACGTTTGGAAGTCACCCAATTTTTTGCAAAAAACAAAAGGCTCAGAGAAGAGAAAGTAAAGTTGTTGTGGGACTAATGCGGCTCAAACCAATCAGCAGAGTGTTGACAGACGGGATTGAGACTGGGGACGCTGGGTCGTCATAGGTCACAGAATAAGGCACAGGTGCTAAAATCCATCAGCGCTACCTGCATTTGAAGCCCCAGACCTTGGAGTAAGACATGACACCTTCAAAGGATCATCAAAGGACGGCTTTTCTTCTCACCATTTCCTTCCACCCTCAACCAGCTTCTCCTAATTAATTTTTTCCTCCTCTCCGCTCTGAAAACGGCTCAGCTCAGCCTGCAAAGGGCCACACAACCCCCGGAATACAGCTGAGTACGTTATCGCTCTGCTTCCAACCAGTCCTTGCCGCTCCCACCCACGGCTTTCCCTTCATAAGCTTACCCTTTGCGTGACTTTTCAGCTCATTTGGAGCGCGCACACTGGGTCAGAGGAAGCCTGCCAGCGGTGGACGTAGTAATGAGGATTCGGATGAGGGAGGGAGTGAGTGAGTGAGGAATCTCGGAGCAATAACAGAGCTATAACAGAGCTATAACAGAGCTATAACAGAGCAATAACAGAGCTGTAACAGAGCAATAACAGAGCTGTAACAGAGCAATAACAGAGCAGTAACAGAGCAATAACAGAGCTGTAACAGAGCAATAACAGAGCAATAACAGAGCAATAACAGAGCTGTAACAGAGCAATAACAGAGCAATAACAAAGCAATAACAGCTGTAACAGAGCAATAACAGAGCAATAACAGAGCTGTAACAGAGCTGTAACAGAGAAATAACAGAGAAATAACAGAGCTGTAACAGAGCTGTAACAGAGCTGTAACAGAGCAATAACAGAGCTGTAACAGAGCTATAACAGAGCGACGTTGTGGCCAAGACCGCCAAGCAGATTGTTCAAAAAGCAGTCTTATTATTGTTATATTGCCTTTGTGGCCAGACAAATTCAATTCGCCCCTCCACGACTGCATGTTTTTGTATCTTTTATTGGTCTGTGCGGCTCAACGGCTCTGTGTTTTGTCTCTGGACAGAATGAGGTGTACCGAGCAATATGAGCTCCGGGTGGTTAGACCCTCTGCTGTCCAGGTAAACAAAGGCTTTCCAGACAGGAACACAGAGATCGGGCGCTATCCCAGCTTCCTCCCGCGTTCAGGGGATTACATTTCACCCCCCCGCGGGGCTGTTGCGCCTGGCCCTCCCACCTCGCTACACGTAATCGCTGCAGCTTGAGAGAGCTCATAAATCAGCCTACCGCAATACATTGCAGAGGGAAAAATGTGCGCCCCCGGCATTTGAGACGGCACCATGCCAACCTATGAGCGCGCCAATTCAGCCCTTTGTGTCCAACAGAGGGGGGGGGGTTTGGTGGCTTCTTGAGATGTCTAGCATTTCCACAAGCCGCCCTCCTCCCCCTCCATCCTTTTGTTTCTCTGGAGGGTTCAATATGTTCAGAATGCTGTTTCATCACTGGAATTAGCGATCATACTTGTCCTGTTTGATACTATACAAGTACCTGAGTTTTCTCAGCGGTTTTGTTGTTTATTTTCAAAATAATAATACCAGCAACTTGATAAAAAGTCTTGAAAATTACTTTACAATGTCACGGTTTTTAATGCAGCAAGAAATCAGTCAAAACTGCCATTTATATTCCAGCATATTATGTATACATAATATGCTGGAATATAAATGGCAGTACTATACTATATATATTACTATACTATACTATAGAGTATATAAACATTTAACAGCATTTAACTGAATAGATTGCCCCCATTTGTCACTGAATGTAATATCAGCATCATTACTTGCTTCCCTAGTCTCCAATAAGTACAATTAAGACAGCTCTCACAAAAGATTTAAGCTTTAGTATTATTATTATGCACCTGCAGGGAATAGTTCATGAGCTAGAGTAGAAGAACCAAGGTGTGAGCCATGATACTTTAAATAAACTATGGATGTCTTTTAAATCTCTTACAGTCTCAGGGATTGCGTGGTGTTTTATTTTTTTCTGCTGTCTATTTTTCCGAATCTACCTGCCATCTTGTTTTTTTCTCCCTGCAAAGGAAGATCAATGTGTCTGACTGAACACTAGGGTCCATTGCTAAACGGAGGGCTGCCAGACATTGATGATCCGCAGGCTCGTCACTCATTCTCAGTCAGGCCTGTGCTGGAAGATATCACCGTTGGCCTGCTTAGGCTGATCAATGACATAATCTGTTTAAGTCCTGGCCCACACGATTTGCTCTCTTTGTCTATGTCATTAACTTCTTTTTCTACTCTTATCGGTACCTCGTGCTCAGGATCTTACCATTTAGTCTAAGCATTACAGAACCCCCCCCCCCCCAAAAAAAAGAAGCTCAGTGATGAATTGGTCTCTAAAACAAAGCATCTGTTTGACAGTTTGAACGTTCTACCATGGGTAATGGTTCAATGGTTGTTATTAAATCATCATAGAAACATCATAAAACATGATGTAGTGCTTTAAGAACTGCTGCATCATCCCTTGGACTGATCATTTTTCTTTTCTTTTTCCCTGAACCCTCTGTCCGTCTTTAGCTAAGGTCAAGTCAAAGTGTGCTCCGACCTTCTTTGCCTGCGCCAACGGCGTCCATTGCATCATCGGACGCTTCCGCTGTAACGGCTTCAGCGACTGTCCTGACGGAAGTGACGAGGAGAACTGCAGTGAGTCCCAACAGGATCAATGTATTCTAATCATGCTGTGGTTCATGATGTGCTCGTAATGGTTTACACTACAGCTGCTTCGTACCGGTGGTTTTGGGTATGCAACTATTCCCATACAATCTGCCACAGCAGTATTGCTCTATGAACAATGTCCCTCTAAATCCTGCATTTAGAACAGATAATAATCATGCTGACAGTATGGGTGGGAAATAGAAAAGTAGCAAATTCTATTCCATTTGCAATAAAGTTTGAGTCCTCTTCACGGGTTTGTATCACTTGTAACTTCCCAGTCTGCGCCTTTTGTTTCTAGCTCTGCCTTTTAGATTATAACACATATTGAATCGAAAGGACTGAGGGAGACCAGGTTCCAGGTATAGAATGTGTTCTTGCGCATATTGCTTTTATCCTCACACGGCCCCCATCCCTGCTTCGCCCATTGGGGAGCGCGCATCCCGCCGATCGCTCACCATTGTCGGAGGCGGCGCTCCCTCGCCTGCAGGGTGCCTCGCTCACAAATCTAATCTAGCCATTTAAATGGAGCTTTGCTCCGCGCTCCCAGCACATACTGCGTCACCGCCGTGTAATTGTCTGGATCTTCTCAGAAGATAAATCTGCCTCATTTCACAGGAGCTAAAGACCAGAACGTAAAAAAGGAAGGGATAGTCAGGGTCATGTGGGTTTTCTTTTCAGTTTGATTTTTAGCGACTTATCGAGCCCCCAGATCAAATGATTTACTACTGTAACTCACGCTGTTTCTAATGTTTTATTTCTGCTGCAAAAAAAATCCCATGACGATTTAAAACCGCGGCAGAACAACTTGATTTGCTGTTAAATATTTGAGTCTCACCCACAGTTGCTCGTGTTTCTCTGTTAACTTTTTGAACTCCTCGCTGTAGCCCTGCTGGAACTAACACCTGACCCTTGACCTCTACCCCGTCCCAACCACAGCCGGCAACCCGTTGGTGTGCTCGGAGGCTCGCTTCAAGTGTCGAAATGGCCACTGTGTAGACCGCAGCTTCCTGTGTAACGGCCAGGACAACTGCCAGGACAACAGCGACGAAGAGCGCTGCCTGACTACGGCAGGTAAGCCATTAACTCGATGTTTGGAGTGGTCATGTGTGCGGAAAAGAGGGATGGGGGGTGGAACATCTGTTCAGGCATTGAGAAGCAGACACGCGAGAAGGACGATGACTTAGCGGCAGAGGACAGCAGAGCAGAGATGTTCCCGATCTCCCTGATAACTCACACGTTCCAAACTGCCTTCGTTGAGGTTTCGGTTGGTCGACATTTCGGACACACTGAAATCGCAGAAGCCAGCGAGAGGCGGTACAACAGTGAGAAACTGAGCATGTTGAACTGCTGCTAAGGCCACGGCCAGAACATGTAAAGGAGGATATTTTGAATTATCAGGGAATGCTTATTAGATTTAAAAGTTCAACAGGTACACAATGCCAAGAATCAGGCAAAAGTAGTAATATAGAGTATGTCTCTGATGAGAAAGATACAAGAGCATGAAACAGTTTTACTTCATGTATTACACATTCATGTATGATATGAAAAAATGTGTGCCATGACACTGTTTCACTTCATAGAGAGCTAGTTTCAGACAGGTGACGGCATTTTAACAATACATACATATTTGCAGAGAATTAATTAATTTAGAGTTTGTTTACTTCATAATTCCAGATGGAGGGAATATATTGCGCCACAAAAACTGACAATTGTTGTATTCATGTCAGTGTTTACAAAGTCTCTTTGATAAAGCACAGGTTTTGCAGGTGTGCAGCACATAATGAATCCCCTTTCCCTGCCACATGTAGTGCTATTACACCAGAAAGGTTACGTTGATGATCTTTCATGCAGAAAAAAACAAAGATTAGATACGTTTCCTTTCACATTTAATGGGGGACGTCTTGAAATTGACACATATATATTAACAGCAACACAAGCATGAGCAATTAGATTAGAATTAAGTTGAGTCCGGATTGTAACCTCTGGCATGTTTATCTGTTTTGACAACCAGAGTGTGTGGGATTTATGTATAATCAGGTCATAACTGTTAGAAAAATTGGCAGGACCTTTGTAGAAGATTTCAGAGTAAGTGGATGCTTGTAGATACAGTATTTACAGCTTTTCTGTTCAACCGGATAAAACGATGACTGGGGAGTTGGAAGATTCTGCCACTCAATATGTCACCTGACGATATTTCTGAAAACATCATAAAGATACGGAAGATCCACTGACAGAATATGTGCTGCTGTGAACATTTCTCTCTGTGCCCGTTTGACACACTCAAACACACCACTGCACCGTCGGTGTAACGCTGTGATGCTGAGGTCCGCTTCAGCTGTGCTTCCAACAATCCAGATGTGCATATGACCCCCAGCAGTCAAGCGTGGGCCTTGCTTCGCCTTGTGTTTTTGCTTTTGTTCTAGAAAGCCGTGTCCTACCTTATTCTTCTGTGACGCTGTTGACAAACAGATCACATGTATTATTACCCCACAACCATATTAGGAAAGCTGATTAAGCTATTAAACTTATTTTCTTGACCTGTGTTAGTTTGCAAAGAGAGAATGAAAGAAAGAGTTTGTCCGTCGTCAGTCGGCCGTCCTTCTCGCGCTCCGTTCTATGCAGAGCCACATAACGCTGAATAGAGCTGTATAGCGGAGCGGAAATATGGATCGATGTCCGTGTCCGATGAACTCCATTTCCTTATTGACAAGTGAAGAACACCAACTTCACTGCTGGCACAATGTATGTGGGGCGTTAGTTGTCACAACCGACTCAATTTAGGAACCGCGTGAACAGCTCGCTGCCTGCAGGACATTCAACAAATGTTATGCACAAAAAGAACATTTAGCAATAAGTATCTATCTTGCAGACAACATTTTTAAGCAATTAGATAAATAATATCATAAAAAGGGGCTTTATTAGATATAATTTTGCATGAGAACAGTTACTATACTCCACTTCCAACACAAAGAAAGTGTTGGCCTGCTATTGTTCACTGAGAGGCTCTTCACTCTGCCTCTGTGAAACGTTGTGTTTGGTACTTTTGTTATATTCCCAAATCCTTTTGTGAGCACAGTTTCTAGTTTTTTTCAGCACGTATTTGTATGTAAGGAGAGCAAATGACCCCAATGTTCTCCAGCGTGTTTGCAACTTGTGTAGCGCTGCATCGAGGGCAGTTGTGAGCTCCGGGTTGTCGTTACCTTCAGCTTAGTGTTTTTTTTTTTTTTTTTTATCATCGGCCTGTGCCCTTTGGAGGGAGTGAAGGCATCACTGCTGTTTGACTCTCTGCAGTTATTCCCTGTATGCACGCACGCACGCACGCACACACTCACACACACACATTTCCTTCGTGCTCTGACTTTGGCTCTCTTTATAATAAGCAAGCAGAGACCTGCAGGTGACAGATAAGGCATACAATATCCGTTCCAACCCACCCGAGCACAGAATATCCTTTCTGACTTCCTCTCCTGCCCTGTAACTGCTCCTCTGTTTAACTCCTCTTCCTCCTCCTTACCAATAATGACTTGCTTCAGCGTCTCCAGATTTGGCTACTTGATTTTGAATAGTCTAGAGAGAGACCCGCGCTCACCCTGGCAGCAACAGATCACCAGATACATAACCGAGCATTTGGTTAGCCTGCCTTAGAGGGGTGGGATAATTAGATCTACAGAGGCACCACCATCCTCGCTGCTCCTTTACGCCTCCAGTGCTTTTATTTTCCTGTCAGAGGGATTTAAAAAAATTGGATAGTTACCCACAAACCGCAGCACGGAGGCATTTTTTTAATCATTTATCGTTTTCTTTGATGGGTAATTGATTTTTGAAATAGCAGAGTGCTGGCAAAGTGGCAAACAGTTCAATGTAACAGTGCACTATCTTCTTTAACTGCAGTGGTGCAATCATCGCACGGCGAGATGGAAGAGTCGGGGATGGGGAGCCTGTAACCGATAACAGATAAAGGAATAGAAAGCCCTCCACGTATACATAATATAGTGAACCGGAAAAGGAGTCACGAGGAGCAATGAATAGCAACGGGCGGCAAGTCAGGTGATTTCGGTTAAGAGAAGAGGGGGAGGTAAGCGATTAGCCGAGAAGGATGAAAAGGGGCGAGAGCATCCGTCCCAAGACGAGCCTCCGAGGCCGAGCAGTGGAGCTCCGGAGACGGAAATCACACGAATGCAAGTTTGGCAAAGCTGAGCTTCTCATTGCTGCGCCTGGTTCCGCGCTGCAGCGAATTGTCGTTGAAACGACGCCGCGGGGCTCACAGATGCTGAGGGAACCCTTGCTGAGAACAAGAGACACTGCATATCCAAAGAAGCATGTGCATGAGCGCATGACCGCACACACACACACACACACACACACACACACACTCAGAGGCACACTCAGAGGCACACTCAGAGGCACACAGAGGCACATCTGACAAGCGATTGTTCTGCATATTTAATTCCAAAAGATAACTGCTTGACTTACAGAGGAAACTTGCTTAAGGTCACAGGAATCTGACCAGCACGGAAGTTGCACATATCATTGTACCTCATTGTGCATTAATTAATACAAGTAGACAGTGGTAGTAGTTGGGGAAGAGAATGTGATCGGGATTGATTCTCCTCAATCTCAAACAATCTTCACCTGGGCCTTTTTCTTACCGTTTGAGGAGAGCGAGGGGAGGTTTAGGTGGTGTGAAGGAAGAGATGGAGGACTAGGGGATGGTTGGATGCCATCAAAAGCTCACCAATGACTGTGTGAAGCTGTGACAACAACAATCTCCAATCCGGCTTAAAGTTTCACAATGTTCTGTAGCTTTCAACATCACACAAGTACGCTACTTTCTCCGCTCCTCTAGACTCTAGATATACACTTTATTATCAGGATCACAATGTGTAGCCCACGTATGCATACATGCCTGAGCATACACGGAGTGCACAAAGAGTCAAATTCCATGTACACACGCTTCAATGCACACTGGACAGTGTGCAGATTTTGGAAGTATAGAATCACAGATTCTGTTGAACTTGGTGACCCCATCAGATTAATCATTGGCCTCGAGGTCCTCAGAGCACTGTCCATCAGAGAGAGGTTTCGGGCAGCAAGCTGACACGCAGCATTTTTCTGCTATATGAGTAAAGTGTCAAAACATGGCAGGCAACATCACCCTTGACCCTGATTGATTTGATGAAAATTTCCATACGCACTAAATAATATACAAGATCGGCCAAAATGAGAGATGGCAAATACGTTTTTTGTGAAACATGACTGTGTGTATTTAAAGTAAGTTGAAGACAGGTTATTCTGTACATTTTTAAAAGCCTGTCAGTGAGAATTACTGGTTTCAAAGCAATTGTCAATGGAACTACATTCATATCACCATAAACTCCCTCACCACATAACCGCGACCGCTCTCTATTCACCGACAGTGCAAAGAAATAGTTTTAACCTTAATGTATGGAAGAAGTCCAAATCCTTCATTTCAAACTCCAGGGATGCCCCAGTCCCCCAGAGAGTAATCTGCAGCTTTCCATTTGTCATATCCCCCCTAAGGTTGTGTAAGAACTGCTTGATAGATCCACTGGCACTGCACCTACCGTTTTGCATGAGCACTATGTATTCAACACACCCCTCTTCGCAGCCCTGCCATTTACAGGGCCAATAAACACCGGTATTTCAGACAGGGCTGCATATACAGAGAGTGTCTGCTGACAGCCAGCCGTAACTCCTGCTACTCCATTAGCGCCGCCAGTCCGCCGGGCACCGAGATGTATTGTCAGTCTGATATAGAAAGAATAAAGAATGTCACAGTGATTAAAAGTCTTTCAGCGTGTATTCACGTTTTATATCCTTTTAGCTAATAGTTTCTCGCACGGCCACGTCCTCCCCCAATGATGGCTGCCCAAACAAATCAGGTGCTCTACATTCAAATAACGAGTTGATCCTGTTTCAGTTTTCGTGGACGAGACGTGTGTGACGCTGAGGCGGTGGTCTGTTCGTTGCCGTCGTCACTGGCCACTCAGAATGAGAGAGAAAGGTGTAGGAGGAAGCGTGAGACGGTGTAAAGGAATATAATGGCAGCA